CACACACACACACATGTGGCCTCTATAACAAACCAAAACTATGTTGTGATTAAGGCTGGTTATGATTTTAAAAGAAATTTGTTTTTTTCAGTTCTTTCCTGCTGATTTTGGATTACTAATTTCTCTATAGCAATTAATCTCTGAATAGAAGATAGAAGCCTAATATAGAATAGAAACCCACTCGTTGGCACATGATACATCCAACAGCCTCATCTGTCACTGGAATACATGTGTGGTCAATATGAAATTGAAAACCACAACAAAGAAAGCTCTATTTGATAAATAATGGCCTCTCTGAGTTTTCATATTCTGACCTTGCATAACTTAAAGAATAAATTGTTTCATTAAAAATGAATAACTTGGCCTAGGCTCTAATACTCTGGATCTTTATGATACAACACGGTGCTACTATGAGGTCAAGTTAATGGAGATGGTCCTTAAATGATGCTAGTTAATCCTCCATAGGGAAAGATTTTCTACTGGTAAAGACCATTCCCTTCGTCTCAGCCAAATTTTATTCAAATCTATTCCTCTATAGTCAGTGTTTTCCAGAGAAATAAATGCAATAGGGTAGATATATAGATTTAAACAGACCAAGATTTATTTCAAGAAATTGACTCAGAGAGTCTGGGAACCAGCACCACCTGTGAGCCACTGCAAGACTGAAACAGCCAGACCCTAGCTTCTCCCTGTGAGTCAGCACCATTTGCAGACCAGGGGTAGAAGGGAGAAGGCCACACCATGAAGCAAGCCCAGTCTAAGAACCAGCACTATGCAAGGGCCACTGCCAGACTGGAACAGCCAGATCCCTCAATCCCTTCCAGCACATCGGTTGGTGTAGGGAGGTGCGCGACAGCCCCATTGCTGCCTCCCTGCCTCTCTCTCCTATGGGCACAATGCATCTGCCTACATTAACCATAATCCTCTCCTGCTTACGTCACATACCCAGATGTGACGATGACCCTGTTGTATTCATCCCCGTAGCCTCTTCCTGTCCCACCAGCCTGCCCTTGGCCTATAAAAGATGTAATCACTTCTGGAATAAACGGGGCTTGATTGGACTCTCTCAACTTGCCTCAGTCTCTCTCTCTGTCTCCCCCATGTGTTTATTTAATCCCCGTTCCCCCTCCAGGTACACCCCACGGATTGATCCGCGGACTGGATCAGGTTGGCACACAAGAAGTGCCAGTCTCCACCCCATCCCCCAATGCCATAAGTGACTGCCTTATCTGGAGAAACACAGGCACTGTGATGATAGCAATAAAGGTGAGATGCAACTGAGTGCCTGTGGGGCTTTGCTGTTTTACTGACATTGCAGATCAAGGGCCAGTGGTCTGATAGATTCAGAGGATGGCAGTACACAGTGTAACATCTGGGGAAGATCTCCTTCTGAGGGTGATAGCCATTGTTGATTCCCTATGGTCTTGTTTTGAGGTCCTATATCATTTCTATTGTTTTGTTGGGTTAAGTTTTATTCTCTTTTGTGTTGTTTGATGATGTCAAATCCAAAGACATGAGCAGCTATTTCAAAGATAGCAAGACATATTATGGTAGCCATTTTGGATTTACTATTGTCTTGTTTTGAAGTCCTTCATTGCATTTGTTGTTTTGTGTTTATTGTTTCTATTCTCTTCTGTTCTGTTTGATTTTCACTATGTCTGAGGTTATCTGCAGCTATTTGGAAGACAAAAAGAGGCATTATGGTAACTGTTGTTGATTTTGTAATGTTTTGCAGTCCTGCATCTCTTACACTATTTTTTAATTGGTTTTATTCTGTTTTATCCTCTTTAAAACACAATAAAAAGAAATAGATTCAGAAAATTACATGCTCTCATGCCTGGCTCATGATATAATCTTAAATCAAAAATATGTACGGAAAGAAGCCAGTCAAACCCTGCCTGCATGCTGGCCACCATCACGACTCTCCCATGGGTAACCACTTTCCATGGGCAGGGAAAAGCAGCCAGCCATGCTTTGGAGAAGCTGTCTGAAGAAGCCCACCCTGCACTCCACCACCTTTGGGGGAATGTGGATTAGGAGAACTCAGGAGCCTGACCCATCCCTCTACACTGTGTATGGGTAGCCAGTGTGGGAAGTGCCTTTTCCCACTTTTCTACTTTTCTACCCACTTTTCTAGAGGATCACAGGAAAATGTCAAGAAAGAACAAAAGGCAGTTTCTGGCCTCCAGCCCAAACAAACAAATCCAGAAGATAAGAACCTGCAAGGAAAGAGAAGTCCACATCTGAAATCTGTGAGATGTTGGAAACTGAAGTAAAGAAACTACTTCATGAGGCTGTAAAAGAAATCAGATCAGAAATAATATCTCAGATAAAAGAAGAAATTACAAACAATAAAAGGGTTACTGAGCATTTCTAAAGACATAGATTCATAAAACAGAGGTGCATTGGAGAATAAAGGAAGCCTTGAATGAACAACATAAAGAAGAACTGAAGTACGTGAAATAGACTCAAAGAGATAGCCAGGAAATTAAAAAGTCCACGGAAAGCTGGCAAAATTTCTTGAATTAAACTAAAGATAGGTCTTCAGACCTTGAAGACAGGGTGGCAGCTACAAATCATAAAGGGAGAGATCTCTTAAAAATAACAAAACCAGGAAATAACAGTTCAATGGTTGCAAGATGACACACACACAAAATTTGAGTGTGTGAGTCAGTGAAAAAGTATGAGTCAAACACAAATGACTTAAAGAGACTAATTACAAAAGTACCAGCAGAGAACTTACCAAGCATTGGAAAAAGACCCAACTTACAGACACATTAGACATGTAGAGCTCCAAATAGCCATAACCAAAATAAATCTACACTCAGACATACAATAATCAAGATCCCAGAAATTCAGCACAGGAACAGAATATTAAAAGTTGTTAAGGAAAAGAAACACATCACCTATAAAGGAAAACTCATCCAAATCATGACAGGCTTCTCAATACAAACCATCAAGTCAACAAGAGTTTGGAGTGAAGTGTGTCAAGTCCTGATGGAAAATAACTTCCAACCCAGATTGATGTACCTTGAAAAACTATCTTTCAAAATACTGGAGAAACAAGATACTTTCATAACAAAGCACAACTGAAGGAATTCATGACGACTAAACCAAATCTACAAAGAGTACTGAAGGACATTCTAGAGAGACATAAAGATTACCGTGATTTCAGGAACAGTAGCAGAGGGGGATCACCAAGTTAGAAAGACAACTGAATGAAGGGGAAAAGTAAGGATCCAATGGCAAGAAAAAAACGTGGTGTGGATAACCCGGTGCATGCTGGCCTTAACCATTAATGTAGATGGCCTCAATCCATCAATAAAAAGAAACACAGGCCATATGAGCCAACAAAAAAATCCATCAATATGCTGTATACAAGCAATACATTAACTCAAAAGGAAATTCATAGACTGAAAGTCAGAGAGAAAACAATGTTCCATGTGACATGGAAACAGAAAAAAAGCAGTAGTGGGTTCCAAAATGTACAATAAATGGGGGAGTGAAAGTGGAAGTGAACTCTTTTACTTAAAGACAAATGATTGTAAATGTTAATCACATCTACAAAAATACCTTTATAGTAGCATCTAGATTACTATTGAGTAAATACCTGTGTACTATAGCCAAGCTACTAGCACATAAAATTAATTTTCATTCTTCCTTTGCTAAAAACAGAAAACAAAAACTGAACAGGGCATATTGGTAAATTATAGTATTGATAAATGACAAAATTGATATGATTTTAGGAAAAAGCATCCTATACTATGGTGTTAGCTGTATTACCATGATAAAATACTACAATAAATAACTTATAAAAAAGGAGAGGTTTATTTTAGTTCTACAGTCATTTGACCTCTTACCTTTGACCCCATGAGGAGACTAAACAACATGGTGAATAGTGTGTGGTAGGGCAATGTTGCTCTGAGTGATTGCTGAGCAGCAAAGGTTCCAGTATTACCTTTAAGGGCATTCCTCTTGTGATCTAACTTCCTTCTTCTAGGTCCCACCTTTTAAAGATTCTTCTGTCTCCCAGTAGCACCACAACCTAGTAACAATACTTTTCCCATGTGGGCTTTTAGAGGATTTTGCAGATCAAAACTGTAACAACTCCTAAATACACTGATCAATACTTTTAGATTCTGTCTCAGTTATTCTTCTCTCATTGCTGAGACAAAATACCCAACACTCTAAATTAAGGAAGGAAAGGTTTATTTAGCTCACAGTTTGTGGAGGTTTCAGTCCATAATCAGCTGGATTCAAGGCAGGGTGGCATGGCACAGGGTTAATAATTCAAAGCGACAGAACACAGCAAAAATAGCAATAGTAAAACGGGGATCAAGCCCCTTTTTCTCCCTTCTATTGTAAGCTGGTTACCTGCCCACAACATCTCCATGTCTTCCTCTAGCACGGGCTCAAGGCATGTGAAAAGTGAGGACCCTGGATGTTTTCTGAATTATTTTATTAAACTTCCAAACTTCTCAAGTTGATACAATGTATCAATCATTACAATCCATCTCTTGTCTACTTGGCAATGAGACACATTTTTTAAAATGGGTTTCTAGACACAAAGACATGCTTATTCATACCCTTTCACATCTAGAACATTATAAAACAAGTTTAATAACCCATAAGAATGAGCAAAATGCAGATGAACTTTCTGCCAAGCCATAAGATATATCTGGGTTCCAGCAGCCAACGTGGTTCTTCTTCCCAGCAGAAACCTCCTGAAACTGGTCCTTACTTGTTTTCTGAGCTCTGACCAGAATCTCCCATACAGAACAAGCTAAGGCATTCCAGCTCTACTCTTTCAGGTGACATCTTTGACCCTTTCCAAGCTTTTCCCATAAGCCATCCCAAAAGGCTCTTGAACCGTATGGTCAGTTATAGTCACAGCAACCACCCTACTTCTCTGGTACCAAATTTTGTCTTAATTTTCTCTTGTTGCTGAGACAAAATACCTGACACCTAAAATTAAGAAAAGAAAATTTTACTTAGCTCACAGTTTGTGGAGGTTTCAGTCAACAGTCAGCTCACTTCAAAGCAGGGTGGCATGGCACAGCATGGCATGGCAGCAGTTCAAGGCCGGGGAAGAACAGTAAAAGCAACAAAAGCAAAAGGAAAGAAAGTAAGCCATTTTTCCTCCCTTGTATTGTAAGCAGGCTACCCACCCACACCATCTTCATGCCCTTCTCTTGCATAGCTCAGGATGTTTACAAAGTGAGAACCCTGGCCCTTTGATGAGTCACTTTCTCAAACTTCTAAACTTCTCAAGTTGATACAATGCATTAGTCATTATAGATACAAAGTTATTTTCCTTTAATTTTATAAATGAAATTACTATGATATTGATGCTCAAATGTCATTAGTATCAGCACATCATTAATTTATTAGAGTATAGACAATCAGAGGCCCAAATCACATTTCCAGCAATCTAATTATGTTAGCAAACTATCACATGCAAAGAGGCACTTCACAAATGTCACTGATTGAGTTACCATATATATTCACCCAAAGAATGCTAGCTTTGGAAGGTATCTTAGCATACAATAGTCCAATGTGCTCTATAAGAAATAACCTCTGAAATCATAAGATTTCTGGGAAGATGGAAGGGTAGTAAACAATAGCAGCAATCTGAAATACAGAGAATGAAGTATAACAACTTGGGGATGGAGTTGGGTCCCTGGGACCCAGGAAGGCTCTAATGGGAGAATTGGAGACCATAGGGAAAGAGAAGTGACAGACCTCAGTGCAGAAAAAAGAGACGGCAAGCTGCACTTTCTCTTTGCAGCATGAGAGGAGGCTCAAATCTACAGAGACACAGTGAGGATGGGTGCCTATAAAGGGCTCAAGGTAGAAACTCACCAGTATAATGGAGCAGTAGATGCTGTGAGATACAACAGCTGATTATCAACTCCTTTCTAAGTATCCTCTAAATCTTGTCCAGAAGTTATTTTAGGGAGAGGCAAACTGAATCAAGGATCAGAGCAGCTGTGGCCTGGATTTATCTCAGAGTTCCTAATGAGTGATGTAAAACCATGTGAGGCATCCCAGATTAGAGACTCATGGTCTGGCTGGCAAGAGACACACAGAGTGTTGTAAACTGAAAAGCTCAGGCCCCAATTCTACAACCAGAGTGTAGGATCAACCTTAACTTCAATGGAGTTGAAAGCACCAGAATTATTGGCCCATTCTAATCCTACTGCAGGCTTTCTGGGATCATCTTTCACAGATTGGGACTCTGGCTCCTTTGTTACTGGTGACAGCAAAGACATACTCTGAATTGGACTTTACACAAAACTATAGACCGCAGAAGATAACCACAAACTTAATGTTGCAGAAAAATTCCATTTTTTTCTTTTTCCTTGATTGTTTTTGCTTATTTATGAGTATGAATGTTGTTTTTACTTTTTATTTTTATTTAAATTTTCTTTTTTTTTTTCTGTCTTCTTCACCAGTTTCCCAAAGTTAAGATACTCTTTCAGGTTTGCTTTCACTCTCTTTCTCCTATTTTGTTTCTCTTTTGTGCTCTTAAACTTTAAAATTTTCTCCCCTGAATGTAAAATCACTGTACCATGGGGATATTTGCTGCAACCATATTCTGATTTGCTTTAGATTTTCTTATATAAGTCTTCCACTTGTGGTTAAAGGTAGCAAATTAAGAGTTATAACAGTGTGTCATTTTCTAATACACTGTGCTGGATGTGAATGTTCTTACTGATTAATACTACTTGAGCCAAGGTGATATAGTTGCTGTGATCAGTTCTTTTTCCTTGTATGCCACTCTTGGTGGGAATGTAAGTTGATATAACCAGTATGAAAACCACTATGATTACTGCTCAAAGAAACTAAAAGTACTCAGGTATTCCTCTTCTCGTACCTTCTGAAAACAGTAAAACTCATCATTTTAAACAGGATATATGCACACCTATATTTTTAGCAGCACAATGTATAATCACTAAATCTTAGAAACAGCCAAAATGCCTATCAATGGATGAAGAGGTAAAGAAAATGTGGTTTAGATATACATGGGAGCACTACTTTGCTATAAAAAAGGATAAACTTGAGACATTTTGAGTTAAATGAATGCACTTTTACACTATAGTTTTGAATCTGTTCTCCCAGAGCTTTGGCCAAGGTCTGCACCTTGGGATCCTAACTGCAATGGGGACAAAGGTGAAAACTGGAAGGAAACTGTTGCTCCTCTTTATATTGGTGAAAAGCGAGGAGTTTGGTGGGCCCACGAGAGACCCAGTGACCCACTCTTAACCATTCAGATGATCTCAGTGGACTGGCAAAAGTACGCGTGTGTATTCCCCCCACCCAGACCTCATCAGGCCTGCTTGAGTGCCAGTAACCTCTTCCACCTGGAGGACCTCAGTAGGTTGGTGAAAGTATGGGTGACTCCTTCTCCCACTTACAGGAGTTCAGCAGGCTTGCAAGAGCACCACTGAGACCTCCCCCAACCCAGTGGACTAATAAGAACACAGGTAAGCCCTACTTCCACCTGGCAGAACTTGGCTGAGTTTGACAGAGTGCTGGTGTCCCCCTTCTACTATACAAAGGATGCTAGAGAAGCCTCCAGTGACATAGTAGGGCCCCAGCTGGGGCACATACCATGGACAGGTGGGTTTAGTAGCCTGGGAAAAATCTGAAGCCATAGTAACATTTGTACTGTTACAAGCCAAGGGTTGATACACATCAATACTCATAGGCTACTCAGCCTAGGAAGAATCCAGGACGCACCCAACTGGACCTGCAGGAAGAATTCAGGTGACTTGCCCCTCTCTTAGATTGTGGTACTCAGCAACTGGGTGAATGTCAGTCAAACAGTAGAACTCCAATTAAAATGTACACAATGGGCAGCCAAGACTGGTGCTATAGAAAAGACCAAAATATGAACCAACAAGTGAAAATGATAAGACAAAAAAGCAGAATGCAATCTCAGATCTCCAGCCTATCCAGAACAAGTACAGGAGACATCACCATAAAAGAAAATGCAAAACACACTTCTGAAAATGCTATAAACATAGCAACTGAAGTAAAGAAAATAATTATCAGGCTATAGAGGAAATCAGTTCAGGCTATAGAGGAAATCTCTCAGGTTAAAAAAAAAGGAAATGACACTGTTAATGAAGAAATTGATCAGTATACCCAAAGAAGATATAGATTTAAAAATACAGGAGCATAAGAAGATGATGCAAACTTGAATGAACAATATAGGAAAGAAATAGAATGCATGAAACATTCAAAGAGATAGGCAGTTAAAAAATCCATTGAAAGCTGGCAAAAGCATGTGAACACAGGCAAAGATAGACTTTCAGACCTTGAAGACAGGATCACAGATAGTGATATGAAAGGAAAGATCTCTTAAAAATAACAAAGGATCATGAAATAGTAATTAAACAGTTCTAAGATAACACAAACAAAAACAGTATAACTTTTGTAAGTATCAATAAATAGCAGTAGTCAACATAAATGACAAAAATATTTGCAGAAATAATAGAAGAAAATTTCTCAAATTTGGGAACAAAATCTAACATACAGATAAGTGAGGCATATAGCCCTCTAAAAAGTCATAAATAAATCTCCAGAAAAATGATAATCAAGGTCTCAGAAATTCAGCACAAGGGAATATTAAAATTAGAGAAAGAAAACAGGTCACCTATAAAGATCATCTGCAAAGGAAAGTCAATCAGAATAATGGTCAACTTTTCAACATCAACCCTCAGGTCATGAGGGTCTTGAAGTAAACTATTTCAAGTCCTGAAACAAAACAATTTCTGACTCAGATTGATGTACCTTGCAAAACTATTTTTCAAAATTAATAGAGATGTAAGATCCTTTTATGACAAAGAACTGAAGAGATTCATATCCATCAAACCAACACTACATAAAGAACTAAAAGAAATTCCAGACAAAGAAAAAAACAATCACAATTCTAAGAACAACAACAGAAACAAACCACCTGGCAGGGCAAGTGATTAAACAAAGGGGGAGAGCTGTGAACAAACATCAGGAAAATAAAATGATAAAGATAAGCCAATACATATCAGCTATCATCATCAATGTAAGTGTCCTCAATTCACCAATCAAAACAAACAGATTGGCAGAATGGGTCAAGAAACAAAATCCAACATTATGCTTTATACAAGGAACATATCTAACTCAAAAAGAAACTCATAGACTGAAAGTCAAAGGATGGAAAATAATCTTCCATACAACAAAAATCTAGAAGAAAACATGTAGCTATTTTGTTTGCAGATAATATGCACTTCAAACTAAAAATGATCAAAAGAGATAAAGAAGGTCACTATATACATGTTAGGGGAAAAATTCAAGAGGGAGATATACTAATCATAAATATATAGGCACCAAATATGAGAGCACCTAATTATATAAAACAAATATTAACAGATATTAAAAATCAAATAAGCAATAAAACAATTGCTATATGGGACCTTAATAAACTGTTGTCACAAAGAAATACATCAACTAGACAAAAAATCAGCAAAGAAATAACAGAACTCAATCAAACATGTGACCAAATGTACTTATTGGCCATTTACAGTGTTCAAACCAACATCAGAATGCACATACTTCTCAATTGCAAATGGGACACTCTCTAAAACAGACCATATACTAGCCCATTGAATATGCTTAAGTAAATGCAAAGGAATTGTAATTATTCCATGCAATGAAATTGGAAATTAATGGCTAAAGAAACTGCAAAACCTACATAAACATATGGACATTAAATAACATCCTTCTGAACAACCAATGGGTTACAGACAAAATTTAAAAAGAAATTAAACATCTGCAATTCAATGAAAATGCAGATACAGCATACCAAAACTTATGGGGCACAGTGAAAGTGGTTCTAAGAGGTAAATACATAGCAATGAATTTCACATCAGGAAAACAGAATGAGCACGAATAAGCAACCTAATGCTGCACCTCAAGCTTCTAGAAAAAAAAGAACAAGTCAAGCCCAAAGCCTATACAAGAGAGAAAATTCTGAAGATCAGAGCAGAAA